CTTAAAACAAAAAGTATTTGAACTTTTGACGGTTGTTCAACATCTATGCACGGTTACTAAACTAAACTAGTAACCGTGATCTATGAAAACCAGAAAATTTTTAGTAGTCCGAATTTTTGCACGGTTGAAAATAAAACGGAAATTGACCGGTCAAAAGCGGAAGCGGTCAAGAGGTTTGGGGAAATGAGTACAGTACTTCTTTGTTTGATGAAGCGATGCTGATGCCACATTGTCGCCATAATGAGGCCACAATGAAGCGAAGCGATAATCGCCTAACTTTTTAATGTCGCGACATTGAAGCGATGCTGAAGCCATAACAATGCCATAATGATGCGATGCTGAAGCGAAGGTGAAGCTGAAGTGAAGCCAAAGCTTCCGCGAGAACTGTACTGTAGGTGGCCTCTTAGCTTTGCTGGCAGCAAGGTGGTCTCTTAGCTTTGCTGGCAGCTAGGTGGTCTCTTAGCTTTGCTGGCAGCTAGGTGGTCTCTTAGCTTTGCTGCCAGCTAGTCGGTCTCTTAGCTTTGCTGTGGAAATGGCTTTGTAATCAAACCAGTTCTCATCCTCATGTTACTAGTGCCACCGTGTTTGACTGACCAACTGACATTAAATATCATCATTAGTGCTGCTTTGTCATATCCATGATCAGTTAGCCCCAAGTATAAATCCTACCTAATGATTAATGATATTGACTTAAAATTACCATTTTCATGGGGTTTGGCACATTTTTATGTATAAAAATAAATTTGGTGACCATACCATTTTAGTCCCCATTCGTTTATGTTTTGACCGTCCGTGTGTGCGTCTGTATCTTACCTGTATCTTTGAAATGCCTGGACCAATCACAATCAAACTTCACACATACATCAAACATAATATTATACATATGCACATCAATTTGTTTCACAATCTGATTCAAGATGGCTGAATAATGCCCATTTTTATGCTAAAAAATCATCAAAATCAAGCATTTATATGTTTAAACTTGTTTCAATTCAAATTTGATCCAGGTTGTGTGTAAATACATTCCATGTGTGAGGGACGTCTCATAAACATGCGGACTTATCACTCAACATGCACTTTATTTCTTTATTATATACTATGTATTATGGAATTGTGTGCTAGTTAACACTTGGGTTGTGGCAAATTTAACACCTCCGAGGTGTGACTACTTTTGAAACCTGCCATTGTCTTCATTTAAACGCGGCACGTGACACACGAATTCTGTGACCCTTCGGTGAACATGCACCCGTTACTAACTACAATTATAATTCTATGAGTCTATAATCGCTGACCACGAGTTCATACTAATTTTACCGAAAGAAAAAAAAAAATTTCACATGTTATGCGGAGTGTGCTGGCTGGTCATAGCCATGGCTGTTTATTAAATTATTGTGCTTTCACGTTTCCTGTGCAATTTCGTGAAGAACAAACATCGATTCTATGCAAACGACTGAACGAACTTTTTTGATACAGCATCATGCCAATCTTAACCAACCATGTACACATCATTTCATAACCATGGTAAATATTTGATTTTACTGTGATAAAACACAATTGAACGTACGTTGTTATATTATAAGCAAACGTTACAAGCCTTTGTATTACCCCTCGCATAGGGCTTTTTTACTACTAGCAAACGATACATTTTACCACTCGCATATGCCGTTTTTACCACGAGCATATGGCATATTTTGCTACTTGCGACTCGCAACTTGGTACTCTCATACGGCACTATTTCTAGATCGTACATACCTCTGACATGTCTATATTCCAGCTATAGTACTATAAACAAAACTATATTTCTTAAATTCGATAACTAACGGGAACTATGCCATGCATGGCTTGTATTTTTCAGATCAAATTCAAAATGGCTGACTGGTGGCCATTTTGTTTAAATGAATGCGTTTCTAGAGCCATACAAGTATCTCTGATATACTTTGACTGATTATATTCAAATTTTATATATTCGTTTTACATCATGTTATAGATATATAGATGTATTCAAAATGGCTGACTGAAGACTGTGCCATGCATGGCTTATTTATGTTCAACTTGCCGAGTCCCCCACTATTAATTTGATGTCTCCTGTTGAGGTTGGTTTGACTTGTTTTAACCAGGAACCCATAGCAAACCATTCAGCAACAGTAACAAAGTTCTTGGCTTCCTTTCAGAACAAAAACCCAAACCAACACTAAAAAGGATTGTATGGAGTTCCAGTGACGATGGTTCCGGGGCCGGGGCCAGTACGAGTACGAGTGTGTCTGGACAGCCGACAGAACATCAAAGAAAACCAGCATGGCAAGGATCACATAGAGGCAGAAAAATCAAAAGACAACCAAGAGGTAAGAAAATGCTTGCCATATCTTGAAGAATGCCCTCTTTCAGACAATTGATGTCTTCCAAGTTATTTTAGCGACATCTCGTGCAAAGCGTTGGAACTGAGTCAGCCTAAGCCAAATGTGCGTGTGACTGGACGGCACATAACAGAAAAAATTTGTCTGCAATCTCAATATAGTCAAGATTGAAACTCGTCACATGCCAAGTCTGGCTTTCTGAATACTTGAGCTGGGACAAACACAGAATATATCAACAAACTTGCTGTTCTCTTCATTTCAGGTCGTGGCTCTATTGGACCACGTGGTATCCGTGGCGGCAGAGGACGTGGTGGGCAAATTATGTGAAAATATTTATTTACTCTGCAAATGCGAGGATAAATCGGTGGAATATTTTATTTTTGCTACACTTTGTAAATCAAAACTGATTTTTGCAGCTTTGAACATGATGTGCATTAACTTCAAACTTGACCTTGACCCAGTTATTTGTTTTAAGTATACCTGGTGTGTAAATGTTGGAGAAGCTACCTGATAAGCAATCTTGTAAATGTCAATTTCAACGTGATTTAATGAAATTTGTATTAAGATTTCACAGTGAAAGATTATTGAATTTTGTTACTATGGTTATATGAATAATTTTTCCTGCTTCACTGCCATTCCTAGTCAGTATATATTAACAGAAAAGTTTTTATCAAACATAAATGGTAGAAAGAAAAACAATTTTATATTTTGAGAAACTTAGTGTATCTTAATTGTGATCTAAAATAAGAAGTGGGTACCAAAAAGACAAATCTGCTTGCTTGTATCGCCCTCTGTGGCTATTTATGCAAATAATGAATGTGAGAAATATTTTTGCAGTAACTATTTGCCATCCATGTTATTTTGAAGCTAAAAATAAAATAAAAATATTGATTTATATTTCTGTGTGGTCGCTAAATCCCATCAAACAATACTGCCCTCTGGTGATAAGGGGTTAACCATTTCACTACTAGTTCCCTCTTTTCATCACCAATTCACAAAATAGTCCCGTTTATAGCCTTTCCCTCAAAAGATTTGGATAAACATAGCCAAATTTGTTGATTGAAAATTGACGCAAATTTTGTCTGTTTGCTTCAAAATTAGGATTCATTTTTAAAGATATAAAAGAATATAAGTGTAGAACACATTAGGCAAGACTGTCTGGTGGTGAAAAGGTTAAAATGAGTGAGTGTCCCAGTCCAAATGTAGACGTTTTCCATTTCTAAAATGTTTCCAGTTCTGCTAATGATAAACATTATTACTCTGTAATGTAAAATACATTATTTACATAATATCTGAACATACTGTATGTGCAAATTTACAAATGAATTCTATGAAAAAATATTATTTTAACAATATCGTAATTTGCTATTGGAAAAGTGTGAAACTTTGTCTACATATTTATGCGACAGTTCGATAGAAAGCTAACAGTAGTGTCGCTTGTCAAGAACACTGTGAAAGGAACACCCTTAATATTTGCGGGAAGCGTTTGTGTGCATGTAGAGAATATTATTTATTTTTTTCGGTATATTCTTTGGGGCGGACATCCGGGCATTTTCACCGCCTGGCAACCATCACGGTGAAAACACGGGCCAAAAACTCTCAGAAAACGATACTTTGGGATGGTTGTTGAAATCCCCGGAATTGTGTAAAAAGATTACCCTTGCGTGTGTAACATATTTAAATTCGGTTGTCAAGGAATACTTGACTGTTTTGCACTGTTTTCTCGAATTTAGCTGTTTTCACCGGCTCTTCAACCGACCTCCCACACCAGCTCGCACAGACCCCATAGAAATACATGGTACAGTGGTGCACGTCTTAGCAAAGTGGAACGTCTTGTGACGTAGCTCCGCCCCAAGGATAAACTACTGTCTCACTGAACAAAATGGTTTTAAAAAGCTTGCAAAAATGCAGGTGCATGTTTATCAACAAATAATCCAACTATACAAAAATTGGATAAAACCAACAAAATATTTGGGTTTGATCATAGTTCAAGTGTTGCTATGGCGATACATATGAGCCATGTTTTATCACTGGCTCTGTTAGCATACAGTCTAAAAATAGGGAATTAAAATATAGCAGTATACAATGACATTACCAAAGAGGTATACAGCATTATTAAATGAGAGATTATAAATTCAAAACATTCTATAAACAGCTGTATTTTTTAAATATCAGGGAAAATCACAAAATTGGGTAGCAGTGAAAACATCACTGGAACAGAGTTACAGAAACTTTTATAAATCATTGTCCTAATTTAAATCAATTACCCGGTAATCACAAAAATTCTGTCAGCAAAAACTGATTTGTATGTACATACAGGTAAGACTTAAATTGTGTGCTTCACACTACAGTTGTATGCAGAGAATTTGGACTGGACTCTGACACTAGAATTGGTATGCAAATATGGATGCTTTACAGGTACAGGGTCCAGAGTTCAGAGTTCATTCACATCTATCACAATAAACCTGCAATACTACCCTGGAGTGGTATATGCATGGAATGTGTGTGTGTGGGGGGGTCTTGTCAACAGTCGAGATAGGAACTGAAACTGACATGTTTTGGAACAGTACTCAACTCTCTTTAATTATTATCATCATGCATACAATGACTGGCAGAAGTAGACTCGGTGAAATCAATTCCATCAGTGAAAATCAATTTCCACAAAACACCCAAAAAGTCTTTAGTGAAAATTACCGCAATTCCAGCTAAAATATTATATGAAAATACTTAAATCCACGGACGTGAGATGTGTTTTACTTTTAACTTGGTCATAATGATGACCTTTTTCACAGGGGGAGGAAGTGTTCATGAATAAACAGCCAAGACAATGGCTATTACACCATACAAGCTGAACACTTATTATAAGACAAAAAATACAACTACAATTGGTTGTGTATTCTGATTTATTCAAGGAAGTTCACAACTGGTAAATCGCAATGGTTTTAACCACTTTCTATTATCTTAAAGATGGTACTTTTAATTTTTTTGTTGCTTTGTACTAGGGTATACAAGATGCATTTCATGCAATGCAGACTAGGTAATTTGTTTTCTTTGTTGTAAAAAAGCTTTTATAATCTTGTTAATGGGAGAATCTGCAAACGTTTTCTGCAGTTGTACATATACAGTTGTATTTCACATCTCAGAGTAAACCATATGTTTATTTAAAGCGGAAGGGTTGTCACCTGCGCATGTGTGGGAATTGAGTTCCAAGTGATAACAACACATGCTCAAAACGCAAAGGCTCATGGGTAGATGCTCGATTGTAAACAATGACCCGCTATGGCCATCTGTTGCATGCGCAGATGACAACTCCTCCGCTTTAAATCAATTGAGTTGTCACCTGTGCACACAGCACCCATGAGCCTGTATTATTGTTATTTGGGATTCAAAATCCATGAACCAGAAAGTTGGTAAAACATGGTAAAAATTAACCCAAAATGATATCAAAGAAAAGATTGTGTTATTTAAAACCAAGCATAAGCCACTATCATGCTCTTGAAGTCTTGTATCACAGCAAAAACGACAAAGTTCAAATCCGATGTTGGATTTTAAATTTCTTGGATATCATTAAAAGAAGAGATGAAAAATAGTGCCGTCACCATAGTAACAAACTTGACCAAAAGTTTATTTTGTCACAGAAATTGACTGGAAATGAAAACATAAACTACGGTAAATGAGTCGAGTTATTTGATTTGATTTTTTTTCTTCAGAGACTGTTCTCTACAATATACATGTCCTGGAAACACTCAAACCAGGGTTTTAGGTATACAATATAACGTGCCTGTCTAAAATGCATTTTGTGATGAAAGAAAATAGTTGCTGCTCTGTTGCTTAATCCTTACATTTTGTTGACTTTATAGCTATTTTGTATAAATTCAAAAGTTTTTCAATAAAAGTTGACAGTGGAAATTTAGCATGTAAATAAAATGTTATGTCTGTCTAAAATGACAGGTAGACAAATGGCAGACTTAAAACCTACCATTATCTGCCACTTATTACAAAATAAAACAAAAATCAATGAATTCTGTAAGAAATCTCTGGTTGTATAATTTAACCCATTACTTCCAAAAAAATGTTCTGTGTGTGTCTTAGAATAAAATATTTTACAGAATATTCACAATATAAAATATAAGAGTAAGTTGCAAAAACTACGCAATTTGTTTGGTAGATTAAATATAAACCAAATAAATTTTCAATTTCACTGAAAATTCTTCCGGCAGGTTACAAGCCATTACAAGCTTTTGAAGTGATACAAATATACCTGTAGTTTTTGTGATGCTACAGGTTTGAAATTGATGTCTTTTGTTTTATTTATTCTATCAAAGCCATTAAATATATTCACCTACGAATCTGCCCTGCTGGATGCTTACTAATAACGCAGAACATTTTCGTACTGTACAAATGCTTGTCATGCACTCACACTGATGGTGCTGCATTCTTCACTGTGTATGCGTCAAATTTGGACGCATAATAATTAATATGAATTGGATCAAATTGAAAAACATTGCCACAAAAAAATTAGATATATGTCGGAAAATAAAACATTACTGGAGGTGTAAATACAAGAGATAATATATATGCAGTCCTTGGTTGTATATTTATTATCATTCATGCCACAATGGCGATTTAAACATTCCGCCATACCGTAGATAATTAAGATTCATCTGTTTTTTCATCTTCCTCAGCAATGTCCTCTTTATCACTAATGATGAATTTCATTCCAGAATGGCAGAATATCGGGTGCGCTAGCTGATCGCATGTCTCCCACATATCCTCGTTAGGATCGTACATTTCCACCGTAGTTGCCCACTGCATGTTTCCACTTGTGAAGTCACGGCGGGTCCCGCCAACTGCAAAGATCTTGCCTTGACAGACAATAGCAGCACACCTACGATGTCCTTCGTTCATATTTGCCATCTGTTGCCAGGTGTCTGTTGCTACATCGTACCGAAAAACATGATTATAGACAGGAAATGGGTTGTTGTGGTTGACTGATGGATTCTTGACAGCAAGGAGATAGATACTGTCATTAAAGGTGATGGCTGTTGCACCGCTTGTTTCTATTGGTAGAGGTGCTAGTATTTGCCACATATTTGTTGCTGGGTCATAACATTGAGTCAAGTCAATGTTGCCGACTTCAGTATGGCCGCAAAACATGTATATCTTGCCATCGCAGGCGGCAACAGCTGCTCCACGAGTTGCTCTTATCAATGGTGATACCACCTCCCAGACATCTCTTTTTGCGTCGTATCTCTCAACAAATGCAACCTCACGATTAAACTCAATTGAATGTCCGCCTAAAACATAGACGTATCCACCAAGCTCAACACATATGGTTTCCGAGCGATACGTTCCTCGAAGCGGTGGTGCTACTTTATTCCACTGCAGTGTACGAATATCAAATAACCAAGCATTGTTAGCACGTATGAAAAGTATCTGGTCATTGACTTTGGCCGCAGTGGCGATACTATCATAGAAACTATTAGGCTCCCTATCTGGGTCACAGCTTATTGTCTCCAGAGATTTGGAGCATGGATCGTACTGGAGCACATCATGGTTGAACTGACTCGGAAGATTGGGTCGTCCGGTTTTACCACTCAGAAGCAGGATGACCTCTTTTCCGCGGACTGGCTTCTGTCTACTTACCGAGACAACTTCTTGAGTGTTAGGAAGATCCAATAGTAATTGCTCGTTCAATATTTTACTGTTAAAATAATCTGTCTTGATCTTTGAGAAATTAATCTGTTTTAGGAGTTGTGATATGTGCTCAATGCGACGTTTGCTATCATGTTTGATCCATTTCATAATTGCCTCGTATAGTATCTCTTCCTTAGTGACAATAAGATCTTTGTGGCTGACGTACTCAAGTAGATGTTCGTAGTTGAGAAGGATGAACTCTTCATGGTGACTGACCTCATCCAAATACATGAGTGCAATTTCTTCAGCAGCTCTGCGTAAAAAATTGCATGAGTGGGACTCTGCAAACCGTTGAAAGCCGAGACAGTTAGATGGATGCAGTTGACGTTTCAAGTACGCTGCGCATGCGTCTCTAACTGGAAAAATTTGAAAGAGACTTGCAGCCTCTAGGATTTCTTGGACATTATGGTCTGATATAACCAATCTGGCTGTGTACACGTAACTTAGTAATGTTTCCATGGCCTGAGGATTCACTTCATTTAATGTAATTATGCTGTCTTTGCTTTCTTGCATTTCGGAGGTAAACATGGCTCGAAAGTAGCTACTGCAAGAGGCCAGTACCGCTCTGTGGCAGGTGAAATTTTGACCTCTGACCTGCAATGTGATATCAGTAAACTGACCCTCATGTCTGAGATCATTTAGACCATCCATCAAACTAACAGAATGTTGCGGAGCCAAAAATTCTAAATCATTTCCGTTCGGAAGTTTCTTGAACATCTGAAGAGTAGATTTTTGCACTGCAGCTGCTTTGACGTGGGAAACATTTTGCAGAATCTCAGATTGCTGCGGTTGTCGTCTGCCCATATAATGTCCGTGTAAACTACCTAGCATCATATTCATATTGACCAATCAGTGCCTAGAAATAATAATAAAAATGCAAATTAGTTTCCGATACGAACTGAAGTAACAAGAAAATAAGTTTTACAAATCATGAATTTATTTTAAAACAATCTGAGAACCTTTGAAAATTTTTTCTAGAATCATTAAAAAACCCTCATATTTTGTTTTACAATTTTTAAATGATCGTAGGTATTTCATTTCACGGTTTTACCTAAAATCTCAGTTTTAGTACACTCTCAGGATATCTTCATCTACAGCAATTATCAAGGACCTAACCATCAAACACGATTACCTCTGACCCTTACGTGAAATGGTATGAACTAGTATCAGAGAATATTAAATTAGCGCGTAAATCTAAGTGCGATATTCTAAATACATTTATTGGACAACAAAAATGTTAGCATGCTTTTAATTGCATGATTTATTAGTTCTACAGTAAAATCAGTATTTTATTTTGATTTAATTTACTATTTATTTGTTTTGTTTTTTATT